CGTTTTCTAGTCTCCTTCTCATTTTTTGTGTTATAGAAAAGTAACTGAAAAGTAACGTCGTTACTTTTCAGTTACGACGTTTTATTGCATAAAATTAAAAAGTACGCTTTTTACTTCATATTGTAACTTAGCTGCAGTTGCGTCTCGAAGTTAGTGTTTGAAAGTTTCCATGCCAGAGCAGTGGCGGAAATCAAAATACGAGACATACGAAGTTCCCTCCTCGTGTATTGTCGTTTCACGGTTGGTTCACCCGATTAAAAGCGTTCGCACAGAAAAACAAAAAAAAAAAAAAAAAACGACAACATAGATAGTGCTTCAAGAAACTAAGATGTAAGTGTTCAGTCACAAAGAACAAGTGCGTGCTTAAAATAACTAGATATTTTTTTCATAAAATATACACGTGGATATATATTCGGGTCGTGACTCGCGAGAAAGAACGTATACACAACTTTGTGCAAGGCCAGCTTGACACTCGAAACGTCGGAATAGACGATTTGAAAAATGCAAGGAATGGCTAAATTGCACTTGTTCAGTGATATATTATTCATAAAACACTGGAAAGTAACGACAAAAGTAACGTCGTTACTTTCATCGTTACGTCAGAAAAATGTAATAGAACTACAGTTACAAGTTACATTTTTAAAAAGTAACTCGTTACAGTTACAAGTTACCAAAAATGTAACTAAGTTACAGTAACGCGTTACTAGTAACGCGTTACTACCCAAGACTGGTTTTAGGTCACTTTCGGACTGGACAGCTTCATTGGAAGTTCAAAAGCTAGACTTCATAGAGCTGTCCTGTTCACTCGGTAATGACAGCAGGGTAGACGCTATGCATGTTTTAAGCCAATCGAGTCTCCGGTTAGGGTCACGTGACTACAGTCTAGAAGCTGGTAATAAGGCAGAATGTGGGGCCTGCGACTCCAGGCACCTGCCTGGAGTCGCAGGCCCCACATAGCATTCACTGCGCTATCAACTTTGCGTATAAGTGACAAATCGGCTCGTTGTGCTCATTGATGCCCCAGAAAATGAGAATTTTGTGTGTGCACTTCCGATTTGGCCTTTTCTTCTCTAATTTTTGCTCTCTCCCTAAGCTGAAAGCGTGGCAGAAGGTATTACTTGCCGAACCAATCAGCCGTAGACTTTTTATCGCTTCACTCCGCTCTCGGTGCGCAGGAAATGGAAGAAGCGTAGTCACGTGGTGTGGCGGATGACGCATTAGCCGTCGGCAATCTCGAAATGCCTGCTTGCGGATGTGGACCTAGTTTGGCGTATGACGCGCACTGCGTGGCTGCTGTGGATTAATTCTGCTCGTGCAGTAAATGATATCTCGTTCGAAAAGTCGTCCCCGTATATCGGCAACAAGCGATTTCTTCAAACAAGCCCAAGAATTTTTTTTGTGATGCGTCTAGTGTTCGGTTCTACAGATGACAGCTTGTGCTACATCGTGTTAAATCTTCACGGACACCTTCCTTCTCGTTTTGTGTTTGAGTGGATCTGCCGTGCCTGTGTCGACATATGTCTCGGATTACACCTTCAAGCCCAGTATCGTCAACGTAAGTGCGCTGCAACTTACTTCGCGACAATTGAATGTTTTCCTACAGGCACTCTTCCAGATTACCTCTAGAATTAGGGCGTGTCAATCTCCTGGCAGCCGGGAAAATAATTTCTCCGAAATTCTGCCAGCAGTCACCTCCCATTGGCCGTCTGAAATCATGTCAGAACTGCAGGTAGAATACTGAAATTTTTTATTCTCTTAGCGTCTCGTGATAAGACGTTCCACGGCCACCCTCTCGTGGATACACGTTTCATGAACAAACGTTTCGTCGAGATTGACGTATCATCGATATTCGTTATGCGAATGTCGATAATCCTGCTATCCCTGGGAACCAAGTTAAGCAAAATCAAGAATGGCGTAAAGCGCAGCTCATGTAACAATTAATAAAAGTTGTTACATGCTCATTGCTCAATGTCCGATTGGTATTTCTCTTATACAGATGAGAAGTCACTTTTGGTAGATTTTTGTAGAAAATAAATATATATATAAAGGTTGCCTTATTTGATTAGGACATATCTCGCCTTATATGGGAGACAGATATACCTTTATTTGGCAGACCCAGACATGTATATATCAAACAATTGGGCATATTTGGCCAGATATGCCTCATATAAACGGAAGCGTTATATGGCAAATATGCCAAATTTTTTTATATACCTATATTTTTTATATAAGTCGAGTAATGCCATTTTTAAGGGTCCGCACTTAGTTTTTTCCTCTCGTTTAGGTTCTTGTCTTTTTGAAGGGCAGTTCTGGCCGTGTAAATTGCCAGATGAACAGGAACGCTTGTGAAACGAGAGACCACGTGGTAAGGCACGCGGGTATTTTTAGTGTTGACTTCCCTTTGCGAAACAAGTTCCACAAAGTGGCCGGCGTTACTTACATTGGTGTTTGTTTGTCCAGGGAGAGGGGAAATTGTGCGATGCAGATAGTTGGATATTCCTCGAAGCCGCGAGGTTGAGAAATCTATATGGGCCTCAGAGGAACGTTCGGCTTGTGAATTTTTGGGCAGTTTGTAGAAACATGGCACAAATTCGTTCCTGCAGATATCGACTTCGTGAATAGACTTCAACGGCACGTGCATCCTCGATGTCGAAAGTTACCCCCTGGCAGATATTTTCTATTGACTCATGGCACCTTCAAATTTCACCAGGCAACATGAATAGTCTCTTGGCGCTCTATAATCCCGATACATCAACGTTCTATGTCACATGGCGAAGAAAGAAAAAACATCACCACAAGCGTAGAAGAACTTGGTGCACTTCAAAGAATAATAGCTGCCACTGAACAAGAACGAAGTCGGTTTTGAAACATTGGGCCACTAGTTTTTAGGGATTGATTGGTGTTCCTTTGATTTCGAAGTTTTTAACCAAACAGACAGATATTTATCAAATGTTTAGCTTCAAGTCTTTATATTGCTTATACCGTGATGCACTTTAGTGATCCCAGTTCCAGGCACGTAGCCTGGGGGGGGGGGGGGGGGGGGGGAGGGGCGTCATGGGGCCCACCCCCCCTCCCGAAATCTTCCATTTTGCTGGGGCCTACTCTCCCCCCTCCCCCTCATACAGCATTTCGTCATATACGCCCCCCCCCCCCCCCCCCCCGGAAACAAAATCCTGGCTACGTGCCAGCCCATTTCACCAGTAGCATTGAAGTGGCCAAATTTACCAGCCGATCAAACCATGACCTACGTCAGGAAAGTTATTTTCCTCTGTCAATTTGTTTTTAATGTTTATGGAAGAAATATGAGTAAATAAGTTGAATATTCTTACGCTTGTAGATTTACAATTTGGCAAGTTAATAGCAGTGGCATAAAACATGTAATGAACATGTTTCTTGTTTTTAACGCTCCGTAAACTAAAAATTGGTTCCGAATAAAACAAAATTTCCATTGAGATACGTGCCACTACAGATACACAAAATGTATCTTTAAATTTACGTCATGATTTGTTAGACGTTGTATTGCTCTGACACGTGGATTTCGGTCACCATAACAAGTGCGCTTTCATCCCTGGCTGTTTTGACATGTGATGTGTTAAGAAAGCTATTTCTTTTTGTCGCGGGTGGGTTAAAGCAGAATCCCTTAATTTGAACGTATGATATTAAGAGAACGCAAAATAAATTTAATAGTATTATTACATTTTGAAAATATATTATTAGGTTTAAAGGGGCGATGCAAAGATTTTTGTATTTTGCGCAAATACCGCTTAGAACGAATCCCTGACGTTAATGACCTGTGCAATACCCGTTCGTTTTTCACTACACGCAATCGAAGTCGCAGAAAAAAATTAAGAAAAAACGAGCAGAATTCATCCCCTCAACTCACAGCCAGAACAAGCGACCACGTGATCTGGAGCCGATTGTATGCCACCAATGTTGATCATTGGGGTTGATCGCTGAGGTTGGTAACGCACAGGACACGCGCTAAGTTCCAGGCATTGTTAGGTTAGGCTACTGTCGTCATTGCAGCGATTGGACAAGCGACACTACCCGAATGCTTCTCAAACTATAGATTATCACGAGCCCAAATCGAGTGCTCACGCAATGCTCGGGTCCAATCTATGAGCCGCATTCAAATATCGTCAGTGGGCGGTACTGCTACCGCCGAACTACGTCATCAGGTTTTGCGAAGGAGAGATTGAATGAAAACGCTCAGTTTTGTCCTGAAAATTACAGCGCAAAAAAGAGTTTCTTGGTCAGTGGCTTTGCGTGCGAGTATCTTTGAGTTCCAGTAGTGCCAGTAAGCTCGTGTAAAGTGAAAAACATTCCAATTCAATATTATTGCACCGCCCCTTTAACTATACTAAGTCCGGCTTTGGGAATAAGCTGAAAAATACACGGGTAAGTTATATCCCAAAATTATAGCTTCGTAAAGCCGCTGTATGTGTCTTCCAAAAGTATTTTTAGGCCTGGTAGGCCAAGTAATCTTTTTTTACGACTAATGAATATGTTACAAATTGAAGTTTCTTTCAAAAGCTATTTTAAACGTCATTTAGGATTCATCGCGCGAAATTAATAATTGCAACAAAACATCCGGACTCTTTCGAATTTAAGAAGTTTTTGAAAGTATTCCAGTTGAACTTACGGTAGCCACATTGGCGTCCTGCGCATATCACAGCACAGACGTTGTGTTATCAACGTTTAGGAGTTCAAATAAAAAAATAAGTACGAACTCTGGTTTGTCTTAAGAATGTCGCTCTCTGTTTATGGTGGATCTAAATTGTTTTAAATATGACATTGGGCTGATGGAACAGAACCTCATATGACACTTTCGTTTTTTTTTCTTATTAGGTTATGAGCGCCATGTGAAGGCTTCAGTATATAAGAATTCTGGAAATTTTAAACTATTGCAGCTTAAAATTGGGTTTCACCGCCTTTTTTGAGATATTTCATGCCGTTTTTTAAGGAATGAACCAATTCTTACATTAAACATCCTGTTGCAGTGGCATCTCGGCTACTATGATAGCAAGTATGTACCCGTGAACCGTGGATTCGACACATTTCTTGGATTCTACAGCCCCGCACTGGACTATTACACCCAGAACTTCACCTTTGTATGTTTATTTTTGACGTTTCACAAAAATAAACCGAAATATGTCATCACTTTATTAGGATACTGCATAAACGTTTTAACGTATTAGAAGTAACATTTTTGCTTTTGTCTCCTCTAGGATAATCATACGGGACATGATTTTTGGAATGGTGACAACATTTACTGGGTCGACAAAGAAAAAAAACAATACTCGACACATTACTACACGAGAAAAACGGTACAACTAATCCAGGTTCATAATAAGTCAACGGTGAGAACACGCGCAATTTACAAATACTAGATACAAAAAAAAAATTCAATTTACAGAGGTTGTGGCTTGTGGCACACCTATTGCGATTGGTGTACCACGAGGATATACGCCACATCTATGGTGTCTGCAAATATTGTTCTGTTGACATTTAAATAATAATAACGCGCATTAGTGTATGATAAATCTATCATATATGCCAGGTTTAGATTTCAAATCACTACAATGAAAACATTACTTATTGACATTTTTCTGCAATTCTAGCCTTTGTTCTTGCTCCTAAGCCATCAAGCACCTCACACAAGTGGTGGGCCCACGCTTCTCCAAGTTCCAAAAAAGGGCATCAGGGATTTTTCTTACATTCAAGAGGAGAACAGAACCTTATTTGCAGGTTTGTATAAAACATCACAGTCTCAGGCGTGCAACCCTTAATGTTTCATATATTAGACGCACATGTTAAATGCTAGTATAAATATTTTTATGGTCTATTCAATTCTGCTCATGTGGAATACAATTACATTTTTCCGCCGTAGACTCTACGCAGTCGTCTTACGACTTCACAGCGCATAAATCATAAGAGGGAAGCAAACTAGCTCAAGTTGTTCTGGTGACTGCGCAGTCAGGTTTTCTTCTGCAGTGGGCTTGGAAATGTAATGTTAATTGTTCTACTTTACTTTACGCATTAATTTTATAAAAAAATAATTACAGTATATTCGTATGATAAAAACATTGATGCTGAAAAGTTTTACATTCAACGTTTTTTTTTATGATTCAAAGGTATGGTGGACGCACTGGATCAGTCTGTCGGTAGCGTTGTGAACGCCTTGCAAAAAGCGGACATGTTAACCGACACGATTCTCGTATTCTGTACGGACAACGGAGCTTTACCCTGGGGATTCAAGTCAAATCGAGGCTCCAATTGGCCCCTAAGAGGAACCAAGTTCACGTTGTACGAAGGTGGTGTTAGGGGCACTGCTTTTATATGGAGTCCTCTTCTCAACAACTCAAGGCGGGTTTCCACCCAACTAATGCACATCACCGATTGGCTTCCGACATTATACTCAGCAGCGGGTGAGTATTTCTGAAATTGGGATGTAACTTAAATCTACATTGGTTTGCTTACGTTTCCAATTTGTAGATACCACATAGTAACTGTAGTGTCTGGAATATGAGTCATAACGGTATTATATGCTGTATGGTACTAAAAAAATGCATAAGTCGAATCAAATCCTTTTAACACAGGTTATGTTTCAGGTATGGTTTCTAAATTCAGTGCTTAGAAAACGTTGCTACGAAAACATTATAACACGGGCAAATTATGCAGAGAGCACTTTGTTTCTTGCCAGGGATTCAAAACCGGGCGTCTCGCTCTCTAGCATTATGCTTTACCCCTGCGACATCGGGATACATTAGAGTGTCCTTACAACTGTTATGTACACTTGTTGCAAAAAAAAAAAAAAAAAAAAAAAAAAAGTTACCCGAGTGCACGGAGGGGCACTTGGTTTATGTGTTCACGTAATCAGTGTTGACTTCACTATAACGAAATTATAGATTTGCGAACATTTTCGTTCTGAGGTATGACGTCGACTGGTTGACAATCCTTTGAGCTTCTCGCAAAATTCGACAAAGTTAGACTTTTTAAACAGTGTTGCCCAAATTCTACATGAGACTTAGAATTTTCGTAAATACTTATGGTAAATTACCCCATTAGTGATGACGTCAGAACATGGCATGCACTGTACTCACAACAAAGCGTTTCTAGGGCCGTTGTTATAGACAAATGTTTGGGGGCTCGACTTGAGTTTAGAATTTGTCTTATAAAAGGTGAATAACGTTTTCTAAGCATTTTGTCTTCTCAATATCTCATCATGAAGACCTTTTTTATCGTCTCAGTGCCATAAAGCCATCATAAACGCCCGTAATAAAGTCTCACAAACCGGTTTTGCCTAGCTACTAGACGGCACGATGTCTTCGTAGGTTATGTGGTTCTTTTGGAGGGAGTACGCGACTCTTAAATTAGGTTCATAACGAGCGACAAAACTTCTACTTTCGGGGTCAACTTATTATGGGACTTCTGAAGTAGTGCCCGTGCACAGCTTTAAGCGCCGCTCGAGTAGCGTCAGCTGGCGAACGCCTGCTTGCGGAGAATTTCTCAATATTTAAGAATGGTGAAAACACTGTGAATCCGAATTCCGTACCACGACGACGTGAAGTGTATCCACATCGAAGTGCAGGTCAGCACACGTTTCAAGAAGTTTTGACAGTACTGAGGTTGCTTTTGTGCACATTTGTTTGATCGACGGAAATGTTCGAAATATACATATATATATGGAAACAGAGAGAGAGAGAGAGAAAGAAAGAGAGTCTGCAAGATTTGTATTCTCTGTCTCATGGCTACAAGCAGATGACGCACCTATTTTGGGAGCGTCGAACAGGAAGTTTTGGGTTTTGAACAGATCATGTTGAAGTCAAAATAATTGCTCCTTCAGTTTAATTCGTGACCGCTGCAAACTAAAGAAAAAACAATAGCCTGACACCGTTTTCATCTCAACAGGCGCTTGTCTCGCTGTATTTTTATCGGGTGTCCATACGTGTTATGATATTAGTCAGAGTACCCCGCATCTCACGCTTATAGAAATTGTTTTTATAAACCTGACAAGTTTTTCTAGATCCTCCCAATAAATACGCGACCAAAATAGTATCGTTATGCGAACGATTCAAACTATTGCAGATGGCATACTTCAGAAATTTTTTATGTCTTCGTCGTTTGCAGTAGGCATCTAGAGGCATCTCAGGAGCAAAAATTGCTGTAGCAAGTATTTAAAAACAGCCGGTTTTCGGAAAACTTTCGTTCTGTAAGTGTAAAATTTTGGGCGTCCTATATCTATTCATTTTAAACATTTAAATTCCACGCCCGAGTTTTGAACAATGTCATTGTTGTTTGTCAATATCACAGTTTATTTCTTTCAGAAATGCTGCACTTTTTAGTGAGTGTGCCCTTGCTTTGAACTGTGCTTTTGTTGCTTCATTTTCAGACGTTAATTAATCCTCTTTACTTCCATTTAACATAGCAATTTGTACCTATTACCCGGTTGCCATTGATGCTTGTGGAATTGTTGATGTGATCGATAATTCAAAAATATTTTTTCAAAGTTTTCAAAAAACTTACCAAAGATTTTTTTTTATATTACTTCCTAAACTATTTAATCAGTACCATAATTGTTTATTTACCTAACGACCGGAAGGTGGAAAAGGTGGCGCCGATCCACTAAACGGGTGATCCATATTCTCCTCCTGAATTATCGTCCCGTATTTCTAAAAAAAACATTCATTGCAAAATTCTCGAATACGTAATTTCTTCACGTTTAGCAAACTTCTTGAAGTCAAATATTTTTGTTTAATCCGGCCCAACACGGTTTTTTTAAGTCATTTTCCTGTGAAACCCAGCTACCAACTTTCACTAATAACCTTCACCTTATTGTTAATCAAAGTTCCCAAGCTGACTGCATATTCCTTGATATCGCTAAAGGGTCATTCCATGTGAAACGTCCCAGACGTTGCCCTCAACCACCTCCGATTTCTAAAAAAAAATTCATGGGCTTCGGCCACAATGCCCGTAGCCATACCCTAAAATAGTTTTGACGAAAAAAAAATTGTGATGACGTGAGCGCGATTTTAGTTCTTGAAAACAGCGTGAAACTAGGCATCACTCAATAATTTACGAAAACTCAGCTTTCTTATGAAACACAAAACAATATTTTTTCTTAAATTGGCACGGTTGTCGGCTTACAATGTGGTTGAGTTTGTGCTGTTTGTTTAATTTAAATATTTTTAAAAAAATAAACAATTTTATTCAAAAATCAACATTTTTGTCATTTTATTAAAAAATACATAATTGCTCCCGGGACCTAATATAACTTTTTACTGGTTGCCCTCTAGGTATATAACCAATAAAAATATTTAGAACCGCTCAATTAAACATCTTGCAGTAAAAAAAATTCTAAATTTGCCAAAAAGTGCGTTTTGACGCATAAACAGCCGTTTATTTCACCCTGAGGTGGTCCAAGTAAAAATACAAAATATGGTGGGTTCGGAAGAACGATTGATCGTCTTTTGATTCTGAAAGTTTAATCAGAGTAATTTTTGTTTAAAACGAGAAAACAATTTTTGAAGTTGAACTCTCGCACCACTACCCGGCGTCGCTTCTTAAACGCCTCTTCGCCGCACAGCACGCCACCTGCGACAATAGCCGAAGCGATTAGGTCCAAAGAAACAACGGAGTTTGCTGCCCGCTTCCCCTCGTCCCTCTTTTCTGGCTGTAAGGGAAGAAACGGCGGGTATCGTGTACTAATCGGAGGTGCCACCAGTGCGTCGCCATAGCAGGCCCGTTGTGCCCTTTGTACCCGAGGGCGGCTCCTCGCACTCCGAAACGCGATGCCTAATCGACGGGCGGCATCAGCTGACGTGAACGTCTGAAACACGATAATATCGCCGCGAAATCTAGCCGTCACGCATGCTGCGGTGAAAAGCGGAACTATGATCCGGTTCGCGCTTAGTTGGAGCGCAGTGAAGACTATCAAAGCTCTGAAACGCGCTGATTCAGTATGTTAACTCGGACGCTTAAAGCATCGCCACAAGCCAAGATTGCGCTTCTAGCATTCTTTTCGGTCCATATTGTCAGTGCGGGAATCTTTACATGACCGATTGGAAATAATGAATAAACAAAGGCACGTGTCCGCACTATTGACACTGGGTATCAAGACTCATTCCTTGCATTTTGAGTAACCCGCTTCTGCGCTAGTAAGCTAGGAAAGGGCTGACAAGCGAGAAGTTGGCTTTTGAATGACCATTTGAGATCGGAAATCTGTCAAAGAAAGGAATTCATTTTTTGTCTAATGCGTTGTACGGTGGTGTAACGATGGATGAGGCTCTCAGTACAAGAATAAAAAAAAGAAAAAAAAAACTTTGCAAACCTTTGTCAGCACGAAAATGATTGCGGCATTTCCGCTGAATGGAATTTTTTCGCAACGTCCCACGGGAAGAGTGCTTGTGACGAAGTCAGGGGTACATTGAAACGTCTGACAGCAAGGGCCAGTCTTCGAAGTCCCTTCGAGAACCAAATCATGACCGCCCAGCAGCTGTTTACCTGGGCCAAAAATAACATCGGGGGCATAACAATACTTTGAGTGCCGAAAGAAATGGTTGAAGAAAAACGAGCTCGACTCACTCCAAGATTTAGCTCAGCGGTCCCCGTCAGAGGGACAAGAAGTCACCATCACTTTAAGCCTGCGTCACCATCTACGCTACGTGCTAGACTTTGTCATTTCAAAATCGATTTGAGCACAAACGACGCGTGAGCCTTCAACGGCGCGCATTCGTCAACACCACATCGCCTCGTCGTTCGAAATTGCCCGTTCACGGGTCTTTTGTGCTGCTGTTTACATCTCTGCTGACGTTAACAAGAGAGAGTGATCGCGTTGTGTATGTAGGAAATAGCTAGCTTACTAATGGATGCTCTGAACCGGCAGCGTTAAGCATCTCCTGACATCAAGACACTTGAAGATCACAGGAGGACATCGCCGCGTAAAACGGTCGAAATGGGAAAAGACATAAAACAACAAGAGTGAAAAACAGCCCCTTTTCACCAAGATGTACCCGACAACTCAAGGTCATGCTCCCTACCTGCGTGGGCACACCGTTACACCGTCCCACGCTTCGCCGGGCTCGACGGTGCCGTGCTGTGCAGAGAAGAGGCACAAGAAACGACACCAGGGTGCGACGTAAAAGCTCAACTTCGAAATGTTTTTATTTTTTTCGTGTTTACAACATAATTATTTTATTTAAACTTTCAAGAACAAAAGGCAATAAACTCTTCAGTAAAAGTCACCATGTTTCGCATTTTTCTTGCAACCATCTCAAGGCAGAATTGACGGCTTTTTTTGTGCAGTATATTCACAGGGTTGCCAAAAAGAATTTTTAATCACCTGCAGCAACGAGATAGTTTGTAACCAAACTATCAAAAAGGCTAAAATTCTCATATATTACTTTTTTTAAATTGCTTTAAGCGAATA